AGCTAATTTTTGATTTATTGTAGAGATGAGGTCTTGCCAAGTTGCCCAGGCGGGTCTTGAACCCATTGGCTCAGGCAAGGGATTACAGGCTCAGGTAATCCCAAAGGCACCTCAGCCTCCCAAAGGCACGGGATTACAGGCTGAGCCACCGAGCCCGGCTCTACAATGACTTTTTAAATGTTAAATTGATGTATGTCATTTTCTTTCAGCCTGAACAACTTTAGAATTTGTTGCCAGTTCTGCTGGCAACCAATTTTCTCAATTTCTGTTTGTTAGAAAATACCTTTACTTTGCTGCCACTTAAGAAAGATTCTTTTGCTGAACAGAGAATCCTGGGTTGATTTGAAAGATGTCATTCCAATGACTTCTGGCCTCCATTTTTCTCTGGCTGCTTTCAAGATTTTCTGTTTGTCTTTATGAATATGACAATTTGACAAAGGTGTAGCTAGTTTTTTAGGTATGTAAGTTGACATCTTTCACCAAATCTGGGATGTTTTTGGTCATCATTTCTTCAATATCTTTTCTGCCTCATTTCTCTCTCTTCAACATGAGGGACTTCAATTAGATGTCTGTTAGATTAATTGAACTGTCTCATAGGTCTCTGAAATATGATTCAGTTTTCTACAATGTATTTTTAGTCTTCTAACTTGATCATTTCTATTTATCTTCATACCCTCTGTCTTATGTAGTCTCCAATCTACAGTTAAGTACACCTAGTGATATTTTCATTTCAGTTAATGTACTTTTCAGCTTTTGAATTTTCATTTGAAAATTATAAAATTTCAAAAAATTTTGTTATAAAAACACAGATGCAGAAAGCCAAACAAATCAATCAAATGCAAACCTTAAGAAATTAATGTGGAAGGCTGAGGCGGAAGGATCGCCGGAGCCCAGCAGGTCGAGGCTGTGGTAGCCAGGAGTGGCCACTGTACTCCAGTCTGGGCGACAGAGTGAGACGCCACCTCAAAAAAAAAAAAGAAAGAAAGAAATTAATGGCTGGGCTCAGTGGCTCAGCCTGTAATCCCAGCACTTTGGGAGGCCAAGGTGAGTGGATTGCCTAAGCCCACAGGTTCGAGACCAGTCCGGGCAACTTGGCGAGACCTCATCTCTATGATAAAATAAAAATAGCTGGGCGTGGTAGCGCGCGTCTCTAGTTCCGGCTATTCAGAAGGCTGAGGCAGAAGGATCACTGGAGCCCAGAAAGTCAACGCTGGAGTGGCCGTGAGCGTGCGTGTCACTGCACTCCAGTCTGGGCGAAGGAGTGAGACTTCAACTCAAAAATGAAAAAGAAATTACTATAAGGTGAACTTGGCCAGCTATCTTAGAAGCCCCTTCTATGTGTCTCATAACAATGACAAGGCTCCCATTATCGGCCATTGCCTTGCTAGACTCTGGTGTGGCCATGTGCTCTTTGAGCTGTGGCTATCGCCATGCTTCCTGGCTTTGGCCCCCTCCCCCAGCGTGGGGAGGTAAATCTTCTCTTTCTCTCTCTCTAATTTACTTTAAAATAAACTACATTTTCTAATTAAAAAGAAAAAACCATTATCCTAACTTTTATAGTAATTTGTGTTTTAAATTTCTGTGTATGTGTTTATCATTTTGAGATATAATTCACATATCCTAAATTTTACTCACCTTAAAAAGTGTACAGGATTGGGCACAGTGGCTCACACCTATAATCTCACATCTGTTTGTTGGTTACCTAAGTATTTCTAGTCACCTAATTCTGTGATATGATGAACAAAACAGACTTAGAAAATAATCAGGAGCTTTATAAAGGTAGTTAACATGACTTAAGTTACCTGTATATTTCTTTAGTCATATATTACAAATATATCCATATTCCTACTCATATTCCTAGGAAGCAATGGGATATGTTACTTTGTAGAAGCCTTACCTGCCATTGACAGGCCAGGTACGGGTGATGTCACTCACATAGCAGGAAGACTCACAACCTCCATCCAGAAGCACCATTTCCCCATCCTGGAACAAAGTAAGATAGGTTGAAATGGGTAAGCTCATGACTGTAAGTTGTTTCTTCTAATCTAAATTATGCTTTCCATTTAATTAATTTTGTAAAAACTAATTTAAAGGAGACTAATCTCCTGGTTCTTTTTATTTATCTACACAGCATCTAAACTTTTCAAATGAATTCACATTGGTTCAAGAAAGGTGACACTGCATAGTGTTTATGCTTTGGAATTAGATTACTTGGGTTTGAATTAATAGGTGTAAACATTAGCACATAATAAATATCAATATTATCACTATTAATTTTAAAAATCCATTTGCTTTTGCTTTGTTGGTATAAAAAACAAAAAATAAATTTAATAAGTCCTATATAAGTTGGTATGCAGGGACTTATTCAAGCACAGCCATCCCTTAATTTTGAAATTCTACTTCCCCTTCTGCTTTCCATCATAAGTGGGGAAAGAAGAAAACTTTGTGTATATCTCTGACTTACAGCTTGTCATATTACACTGAAATCACCTGTCTATGCCCTTGAAGACAGATATATATATATAGTAATGGCAACTTCAAAGAACGGATGTGGCTTTGTTTTTGGCAATAAGATAGAATACATTTCTTGTGAGAAAACAACTAGATTTTGGATAAAAATTTTGTTTTGTTTTTTTTGAGTTGGAGTCTCACTCTGTCGCCTAGTTGGAGTGTAGTGGTACGTTCTCGGCCACTGTAGCCTTAACCTGCTGGGCTCAGGTGATCCTTCTGCTTCAGCCTTCCAAGTAGTTGGAATCACAGGTACATGTGACCACGCTTGGCTAATTTTTTATTTATTGTAGAGATGAGGTCTCGTCAAGTTGCCCAGGCTGGTCTCTAATCCCTAGGCTCAGGCAATTCTCTCATCTTGGCCTCCCAAAGTGCTGGGATTATAGGTGTAGGCCACCATGCCCAGCCTTAAAATATATTTTTATAAAATGTTGACATTATAAAATGTAAGAGACGGCTTAAAGACTATTTCGCGCTTCAAAAAAGACTACCCAGAACTGAAACTGCAGCTGGAAGTAGTAGTAAAAAAGTAGTTAGAGAGATAGCTGAGGAGAAAATTAGTTTCATGGAAGACAGACCTCCCCAAATCACCTAGAATATGACAGAAAGAGGCTAGGCAAAGGTAAATATGAAAGAGAAGTTAGCCGGGCTCCATAGCTCAGCCTGTAATCCTGCGCTTTGGGAGGCTGAGGTGAGTGGATTGCCTGAGCCCATTGGTTCGAGACCCGCCAGGGCAACTTGGCGAGACCTCATCTCTACAATAAATCAAAAAATGAGCCAGGCGTGGT